GGCAAGAGAGTGGATGGAGTGGGGAGGCAGGGGAGAGTGGGGGGCAGATGTGGGCCTCTGTTCCCATCCCCCCCCCGTCATTTGTGATGGGCAATTTGCTAGTAGTTCTTATAAGCAAGAATCCAGGTTATCCATTTGCTGCAGAAAAACATGGGTTTTCTCTTTTATAGGGGAAAAACATGGGACGTTGTGGATTTCCCCATGCAGGCTGACAACTAGAGGAAGCAGGAGGAGGGTGATCAGGTGGGGGAGCCATGTGCATGTGTGGGCACACATGAATGTGGCAGGAAGGCAATGGTGAAGAACAGCTCCTGCAGCGCTCTCCAGGTACGTCTACAGGGAAGGAGCCCAGGCCACGCATTGGGTGGGGGGAGGGGCACAGGCCACATGTTGTGGGACTGAGGGGGCACATGCCCCCTGAGATTTTTGTGCCCGCAGTGGGGCATGTAGTGCGGGGCTACAGCAGACCTGCACCAGCTCAGGAGCTGCCTCCGTGGCCCAGCAAGAGGACCTAGTGCAGGAGGGAGCACTGCACTGCCAGAGCCAAGCTGATGCACCCCCTGCCCACCTGGCAGCAGTGGTGGGGCACAACTCCATACTGCTGCCACTGCCATGCCTCACCATGGTGGTATGGCACTGAGTCCTGTCCACTGGGCCATGGAGATGGCTCCTTCCCAGAGCTGGTTCAGCCCAGCTGCAGCCGTGCACCCTGCTGTTGGTGTAGAAATCTTGGGAGGCACGTACCTGCCCACCTTCTCCACATGCCTACTCTCTTCCTCGCACACTGGGGGCTGGTGGGCAGCAGGTCAGGAATGAGGGGCACCAGCAGGGCCAGGAGGCTGTGGGTTGGGAGTGAAGGGCACCAGCATGGCTGGGGTTGGTGACTTGAGAGTAAAGGGCAATGGCATAAGCAGGGGCAGGGTACTGGCATATCAGAGCTGCTCAGTCCACAAGGTGGTAGGGGACACAGCTGCAGCTGGACCCACCTCCTGGAAAGAAAGTAGGGCAGGGGGATCTTTGATTTTCCATGATAAAAAACCCAAAATCAAATGCCAACATTTATAATTATTCAGACTTTGTTTTTTTATAATTGACACACTAGTAGGCTTCCAAATTACTTCATAATTGTAAATATATCAAAAAAAATTGTGTTCAAATTGATACCTATATATGTAGAGGTGTCTCATGTTAATTGCAGAAAAACACAGACTTTAGGGTTTTAAATCAGAGATTTTGGGGCTTTATCAAAGAATTTGGAATTTTTAAATAGAGAAAACCAGTGATGTATTGGCTAGGATGTAACGAAGGGAGAAGGAATCAGATCCAGAATTTTAGTACATCTGATATGGGTTTTTCCAGAAATGCCATTTGGCATTTATTCCTGTTAGTTTTTGTTCACTTATGCATTGAGTTAATTACAAATTTCAAGGCATTAATTTAGGGGAAATGAGTACATTGGTTATGCAAATTGAAGATGGGGATGGGAGAAGGAAGAATATTGTGATTTGTCAGTGAACGAGAAATAACAGCAGGGTTAGTGCATGGAGTCTCAGTCTGTCAAAAGAGGGGTTATCAGGTTACTAGAGACTGGTGAGAAGATGGGAATAAACAGAAATGATTTTCCACTTTTTCAGACTCCCATTTTGAAGTGGTAGAGGGGTGTGAGGGTGGAAGGGAAGTGGAGTTTCAAATAGTAGATTCTTTGTGGCAGAAAAACAGCCAGTCTTATTTCATGAAAGGAATGATGCTATTCCAGTTTATAGGTTGTTCTAGGGGCCTTCAATCACTGGGGAACCCCCATCACTGCATAATTTGCAAGGAATGGTTCATTCTTTTTTTTGGCCTTTGCCTACAACCCATTCACAAACCCCACACCCCCACCCCATCATTAAATGTGTCTGCACATTTACACATTATTTATCCCAAAGGTCTGTGTAGCTGCAGTGGTTTTAGCTTTTTTCTCCACACCAGGTGTTTTGAAAGAAAATAATATTCAGACTAGCATTTATCACCCTCTTGCGTTCTCTGACTTTCTAAGGCACTGCTGAAAAGAAAAGAATCAGCAGGACAAAATGAAGAGCAGATCAAAAGCAACTGATGCTTCTTCTTTGAATATATAGATATATATATTTTAGTAGTTTGCCCACAGTGCAATTGACTTGATGTTTTGGGAAAGGCACTTTCCTATCAGAAATAGGTGTTATGTCAAATTATTTTCATTTCTGAGCAGAAAGAGTGAACAAAGATAGAAAACAAATGATCCATGATGGTTTATCATATTGCTGGTAATTGAAAGAGACTAGCTCCTTGGAACTTGCTGATTCTATTTCTGCCTGGGCAAAGCTTATTATTATTTGCAATCATTGAATAATGGATTCAGTATTCCAGCATAGTCTCTAGAAGTGTTTTTATTTGATGTAAGCTTGCATGATTTAAGCTCTGGACTGTGTCAGGCTATGATAAAAGCTGCCATCACCTCACCAGGAATTTCCTGTAATGTATAAACACTTGACTTCACGCTAACCTCCCCTTCTGCCTCTTGCACATCCTTGCATGCATATCAATGACTGCTGAATAGGGCACTGCTGTGTACCCAGGCCTAGTCAACAGCCTGAATTGATCAAGGCCTAAGGATTACTGCACCACTGACTGCTAATCAATAGATATTGAGTGCAAGCCCCTGCTCTAAATTCAACAGGGTTAATAAGTGTCTACACAAAACAATGGTCTGAAATACAATCTTTCTATTCAGTGAGCAAGGAGAGGCAGAAATGTTTGCTTCAGCAGCTGTAGATAAAACCTGTGGGAGGCAAAGCTTTAGCTTTTACCCAAATTTGGCCTGAAGCATTCTTGATTTGCTAAGTGTGCTGTGCATTAGAGACAGCTTTGTTGCTGACAAGAGAAATACCACATATGATTACATGTTTCTAAGCTCCAGAAAGTCTCGTTTGATCTCCTTTGTGCATGGAGGATATATGACACTCCTTAAAGTCCCCTCTATTAGACCTTTAGTTTTACCATATACACTCAGTATGCAACCCTAAACACATGCAGGACAGAGAAAAGGGCTCAAATTGAATGGTTTGCAAATACTTTCATGTTTAAATAGGTGACAATTCTGTACTCAGGTGAAAAGTAAAACTCACATAAGAAAAATGAGATTGTTCACAAGAAGCCTGATTTCTAATAATTTCAACTGGTATAAAATAACACTCCCAACTTCTAAATTATGCATAGAATGAGCTTTTATTACAGATAGAAATTCTTAGTAGAAAAGCCAGTGCTGAAGCAGTTTGCCAAAATATCTGACTGAACTGGGGTAGTCAGCCAACTGCAGTTACTGCTAGTTTATGATGAATGGTGATGTCCTAACATTTGCTCAACATCTGTCTGCCTACTTCATTTCTAATTGCATATCCTTGGATAACTGGTAATGATGGTATGCTAGATTTCACTGCTGCAGAGTCAGCTGAATGAGGCATGAATGTGAAAGATTAGGTATGTTTATGTTCTGTGGCCAAATCTGCCTTTGGTAGATACCCCATTTATTAGAAGTAGACATATTCCATTAATGATGGATTTATTGATTCCAGTGGATTATCGGTGGTCTAAATATCTTCATAGTAGCACATAACCAATGCTTATCATTAGAATTTTACTGAATTACTTACAAGGGAAATTCAGTATTAAGGCTTGTTTTTTTCCCAGATGAACTGCACTTGCCAATGGCTTATGGTACATCATATGCAAGTTATGACTCTATTAATAAAAAAGTAGATCTTTTGCAAATAAAGACAAACACATTGCACAATCTGCTGAAATACATAACTGGCACTCCACATTAAGTGAAATAAACATTATTTATTAAAAAGCCTAAGTTGTCTGTCATTCTGTTTTGCCGAGTTATTTTGCCTATTTTTCATATCAAAATGCTGAGCCAGTTAATTTTTTTTTAAATGACAAATTTTGTGTGCCTTTAGTAATCAGATGCATTCCTACCCTGGAGTGTGTTTAGAAAGTTTTATCAGCATCCTTGCTTGTGCTCTGTTCCAACACCAACACTGAGAAAATAGAGCTACATAATGGAAAGCTACGTTGTACAGCCCTGTTTTAGATGATGGACTGGAACAGGAAAACATGCACCATTAAAGATGCAAGAGGAATGTAGAGTGCTCCTATAGATCCTGCTGAAGCAACTATGCCATTTATTGGGGACTAGAGAGGTGAATTAGTGGAAACCCTGGTATAACACAGTGGAGTATCTTCTTAGTTGGCTTGCTGGCCCACTTGCCTTGAATCATCTTGTTGCTGGATCTGTAGTCAAGAGGAGAATAAGGGGGAATCCCTCACAAAATATCATTACAAGGTTCTGTGTTCCCTCCTCAATAGTTTGCAGGGTTTAAAAAAGAATGATATTGAATAACTTGCAGATTCCCTGCAGACTGGAACAAGAATTGTGGGAGGGATGATTTGAAGGGAGCTTCCAGGAAGCTCCATGCACCTGGGGAATTATGCAGCAGCTCACAGCCCATCAATGGCACCTATCAGCTGTAAGCCACAGCACCAAGTACAGTGCACTAAAAATAAAGACCTAAGTTGCTGCAGTCCAAATTAGAGTCCCTTTATTACTGCACCAAGCTCTGTGCACGAAACAGATGCTATCAAGAATACATCACATTTCCTGTCCACAATGCCCCCTCCAAAAAAAAAAACCCAAACAAACACCACCCAACAACAACCACAACCCAAAACACCACAGAAGAATTTCTGCAGATTTTGAGAAGGAAGAGTTATTTGTTTGGGACTCAGCTCCTTCATTCAGGCAAGTTAGCATGTTATATCCTGGATTTTCAAGTTCCCTCCATCTATTTGGATATACTACATTAGGATGATTTGCTTCATGTTTTCTTCCTTTAAAAAAATTTCTGCCTAACCTCATTCCCTCCGTGTGTGCCTCCATGTCCGAGTTCTATATGGGGTTTTGAAGTTCATCCAGATGATGGTAGTGCTGAGCTGAGGTTACCTAGGACTGAAGGTGGAGGTGGCAAAAAAAAAAAGAGAGAAATGCAGGAAAACAGGTTAGTCCTTAAGGCTGAATTTTCAAAGCAGCGCACTGGGATTTAGAGAACTATTAATTGGAATTGCTTGGTCAAATCCCTAAGCAATGCTTTGAAAGTTTACCCTTGAACTGTAAGGGATCAACTCTAGCCCTTTGTATAATTTTTAGCCTGAACACAGCAAAATACATTGGAATATATTATGATTACTTAACGGTCACAATAAAAGCAGTGCTTGTGTGTGTCCCAATGACATCCCTCTGGCTGCTAAAATAGCTTCAAAAAGTAGTATTATACATAATTTAAATTAATAATTTGGTTCCTGTTTAACACACAAAATGTGCATATTGTAGTTACCTACAGAATATATTGGCTTTATTTTGATTATAGAGGTGACAGTTTGAAGATTCAAAACTCTTGTTAAACAAAGAACTTCATGAACTGGTTGTTGTAATCAATCAGCTCACACCTCACTTCCACAGTGATGTCTCTGGAAAATTTCCAAGGAATGTGGATGGGCTCAGCTAGGGTTACCACTGTGGAAAGAATATAGATGTATAGTATCTTGCCATTATGCACACAGTTAACTTATGCACAAAAATGTTATCGCTGTTCTGTCTCAATTTGCTTCTCCCATTTCTTGCATCTCAAAATCAAAGCTGATTGAAAATTAGAATCCCTCTCTGGAAGAAAATTAGAATATTGCAATATATGTTTCTATTGTGAATTGAGACAAAGATTAAAAGAAAGCAAAAATTAATAAAATACAAAATTCAATTTGGAACAGATGAAGTACTTAAAATTTGTTATTTTAAGAGTGAAATAGTGTTTAAATTCATAATTTTTGATCTTGGTAGAATCAAGGCACCTCATATTAGACTCAAGGCAGTCCTCAGAATGTCAGCTCTTAGTGCTTTCACTCCTTTTTTCATTATGGAAAAATAGTAGAACAATTAGCCTGTTGCAAATAACTCAGAAATACTACAGCAAATCAGAATGTTTTTAACATGGTGGCTTGAAACCTCTGGGACAAGATCCTGTGAGTCTTGTGCCATGGCATCCTGGCTCAGAATCATTGGTTTAGCTTAAAATATTTCAGGTTGGGGATATCTATTTCAGCGCGTTGAAATTACCCAGAGCATTTTGTTTGAGGTTCAACATCTACAGTTAGGATGCATCAGACACCTGAACTACATCTTCCACAGGCAGTGAATTGAAGTAGTAAAGTCCCTAGTAGACTTTATGGGGTCTAGCCCCCAGGCTCCCGCCCAGCTGCTGCTCTCCCTTTCACTCTGATTACAGCCACAGCTGTGGCCTCCATGATTCACCCCCAGTGTCTACTTCCTATGTCTGCCTCAGTGGGTGGCTCAGCCATGGTGGGTGAATGGAGGGTGGTGGGGGCTGCTCATATGCATGCATGGGAGAGAAGTGAGGGAGGAGCTGCCATACACATTGTGCAGTGGGGCAGGAGGTGACTGCATAGTAGGGACACAAGGCATCCCTGGCAGGTGCTATTGCAGCCTCCACAACATGCCCTCTCTGCTGGGATGGCCCATGTGGAGTGTGGTCCTCGATGGCTGAGAAGTTAGACAGTCCTGTTCTAGGGACATGCACCTTTTGTGATGGTCCACAGACAGTCATTTGTTGCATCTTTGATTTGGCTGTGTACCGAGCCCTTCATTGTTTTGAAAATTAGGAGTGAGGCTTTAACCAGGCACCAGCGCCTTAGGAGAGGTTTGTGCACAGGCCTGATGGGCACTGTGTTCTTCACAGTCAAGCACAAACACAGTCATAGTAATCCAGCCCACAGAGTGATAAATACATACATTTCTGTGAGGAAGAGATAACGTTTCCTGGCAAGCTAAAGCCACATGTACACACTGAGTTGACTCACAAAAGGAAATATTTCAGGTCATTTTGAAAAAAAACAAAAAAAATCAGCATATTTTGACTGGGGTCAAAGTAGCCCGAAATGAAGAAAAAAAAATTGTGCCTGTTCCTCACAGAAAAACAGTGGAACTCCCACCCCCAGCTGTGTTTCCCGTCAAAAGGTAATTCTAATGGAAAATTCCCGACTGGCTCCACCCAAAACCGAGGGGTATGCTCAAATGGTCTTTCAGCATGTCCAAAAAAAGACAAACCCAATTCCAACCTGTTTCCATCTTTGTCGTATAAATAATAATTATATTGTATCATTTGACCTTAGTTTCACAGCATGCATCTGACCATGTGCTGTGCAAGACGTACAATCAAAAGCAGGCCAAGGGAGGAGCACGTGCTCCGTGTCTTGCCACCTCCTCCACCTGATTTCACTATTGCTGATTTTTCTCTCACATGCCCATTTATCATCATGCTGATGGAACTCATTCCTTCCATTGCGGATCTGTTGCTAGATATTATTAGTCCACCTCTCTGCTGCACTAAATTTAAGTAGCACCTCCAGGACCAGCTGGAGAAAAAAAATGTGAACATGTAGGTGAATGGTAGTATGGACTCAGTGCTATTTATAGTGCATAGTTTCTTAGGCATGTCCTTATTTAGTGAGGAGCACTTGGTACCTGCAAGCATATAATCAGTTGAACTCAAGTCATTACTTGGTTTTACAGCCAATACTTAAATCATGGATCTCAAGGTCTTGACAAGAGAGAATGCTTTTTCCTTCTAACCACACGCAAGGGTTGAGAACTTTTCTGTTTTGCAAAAGGGTTTTGTTACTGCTCATTTTTGAAGTTGCAAAGACTACCTAAGTGGTTTTGTGTAATAAGGTGTAAAATAATTTGATATAGATAACTGTGCCAGTCTGTGCAGAAAGGTGAAGCTCAGGTCATGAGAAAGAACAACACAATATAATGAAAATCAGGAGTTATTGTTTGCAGTTTTTATTTTCAGAACAGCAGCGAGAGTGAGACTCTGTAGCAATGCAGTGCCAATGGAGAAAAAGAACTCAATGGCTGTTCATTAGGTATAGCCAGTTTAGATGAGGCATCATAAAAATCATTGTCTATTCATCCAGTGGTGATACTGTGCTCAGCATCTGTCAACATGCAGATGAAGGCGCAGGAGACACTGTTATAATAATTTATTCTGACCTCCTGCATAATATAGGACATGGAAATTTACCCAATATTTCCTGCATCAAGATTGTACCTTCCACTGGAGCTAAATATTTACCTTTCCAGAAAAAGTCTTCAGATCAGTACAGGAGGTCTAACTGACTGCAGATACACCACTGGCCTTGACAATTTTATCATCATCTTTACTGTAAAACTATGTATTATACTCTTGGAATGTCAGGTTTCAGCTTCCGTCCATTGCCTCTAGTTATGCTTTTGTCCATTAGAAGCATCCCTCTTTACTAATAAATAACTTTTGCCTATCTAGAACAATTTTTCCAACCATTTAGTTGGTCTAATAAAAGAGATCACATTTACCCAAAGAACCTTGTCTGCCTTTCTCTATCTAGGTATTTATAGATGGTGACTGAGTGGCTCTTAATTTTTTTCCTGGATCAATTCAATAGGTCAAGATTTTTACTGCATTGCTATAAGGCAAGTTTTCCTAACCTTGAATCATTCTTATAGACATTTTCTGGGCTCTTTCAGTTTTAGCATCCTTTTTAAAGTATGGGTATTAAAATCAGAAGATTTTTCCAGTCATGGTTTCTACACAGTAGCTATATCACCTCATTGCACTATCTTCCTGTTTTTGCATCCAAGAATTATGTTATTTCATTCCCATGCCATGTCTCCAAGAGTCCATGCTCTGTTCCTAATTCACCAGAACCCCTAGGCACCTTTCCAATTCATTCTTTTCCAAAATGCAGTCTTTCTTCCCACAATGAGCTACCTCCTTTTTTTCTTTACAAGTTCTTGATAAGGATATTGACTGGAGTTAGGCAAAGAAGTGTTAATATATGGTTCCCCACTAGAAACATCCCCACAAAATGATTTTGTCCCCCAGTATATCACAGAGCCAGCTTTTTGATCCACTTATTATATTATCCTGACTTCAATGGGTCTTAACTTTTTATCAGGAATTTCATTTGGAACTAAAACATTGTAGAATAGAAGTCTAAGCATATCATAGTTAGCTTTACAGCCAAAACAGAATTTCACCAAAGGATAATGAGTTTTTTTATGACAAGACTCATTTCCCATTAAAACTGTTGATTATCTGTCCATCGTACTTGTATGTCTTTTATTACCTTGGTAGTATAAAAGTGATGTTGTAGCCATGATGGTCCAGAAATTACCCAAGGGGCAAGGATTTCTTAGAGCGATATCTTTTGTTGGACCAACTGTATAGTTGGATCTTGTTACATGTTACATTACGAGCTGCTTAAAATGTCGATTGGTGTTAGTGATAGCTCGAGTTTGGAGTAGCCGCATGTTCAGGCCAGCAGGGGCCTGGAGAACTGAAAGGTAAGAATCCTGCTCCTCCCATTCTAGGTTTCCCCCTACCCACTCTCCCTTGGGGTTCCCCTCCACCTCCGGGGCTCTTCGCCCCGCCCCCCTCCCCGGGGCTCCTGCATGCTCACCCCCCTCACTTGTGGCCATCCTGGGAAGAGAGTTAAACTGCTGCCCAGTCCCTACTGCTATCACTGCTGGGCTGCTGTTCTTCTCTAAGGTGAGCTTGGCCCAGAGAGCAGCCAGAGCAGCTGTGGCCAGGTAGACAGGTTAAGCCTTCCCTGCCTGCTCCCTCAGGGAAGACAGTGCAGGCAACAACTGAGAGCAGCGAGTGAGGACTTGGTGCACTAGGGAGAGTGATGGGGGGCAGTGGGCCTAATCAGGGCCAAAGGGGAGGGGGTTCAGGTAGGGTGGGTAGACCTTCGTATAATACAAGACATGTAACATGGATGAGAGAGAAATATTGGCTGCAGTGGTGCAATTTTAACCCACTTAAGAGTGCTTAAAATGAGTTTCACATGGTAGTGTGTGGAAATCCAGGAGTAAAGAGCTCCAGGAGCTGCCTAAACTTACCATTAACAAGGCCCTTAGACAAGCTTTTAAATGAAGGATATTCTTCACCATGTCTTAGCACCTCAAAATTTTTAGCACAGTTCTCAGAAAACACCCACATTTCATAGATGAACAACAGAGACAAGAGACAGTGCAATTCTATTTCCCTCAAAGGCTAAATGGTAGTTTTCTACCCATGTATTTGGCTGGCTTTAGCATATATTCTTGCTTTGTGGAAGCATGCATAAATTTAGCGCACACAGTCAGATATGTGCTCCCCGGGTAGGCATGTGGCTACATATGAGTATACTTGAGTTTAGATCTGGGAAAAAGGGAAGTGCCCCTTGCATGCAATAGCCATTGGGTAAAATAAATAATAATGTAGGTTTCCCCCCCCCGAAGCAAAGTCCCAGGGCTCCCTCTTAGCCACGTAAGAAAATAGCCATCTTGCTGAGCAACATAACCTCTAGTACAGGGGTGGGCAAAGTCTGGCCCACAGGCTGGATTGGACCCAAGGCAAACTCCATTTCCCAGCATCCCCTGCCAAGGTTGCTGCAGACTGTTTCCCAGGGGACCCCAGCCCCAGCAGCTCTGTGACACTGCAGGGCCAGGGTTTCCATGGAGATCAGCTCCACCCTGCTGTGTGCCCTGTGAGCACTGATGGGGCTGGGATCTTGCAGCAGTGGCAGTGTGGTCAAGAGCTGGGTGGGGAGAGAGCTATGATCTGCTGCCCACACGCCCTGGGCAGGAGAATGCAGGTAGAGGATCAGAGGTCTGCTCCAGCACTGGACCAAGCTGTCACCACTGCAAGATCCCAGCCCCAGCCACAGAGTAGCTCCACCCAGCCACATGCCCTGCCAGTGCTGCTGGGGCTGGGATCCATGGAAACTCCAGCCCTGTGCTGCTGTTGGGGTCTCCATGGAAATCAGCTACTGTGACATGGGTAGGGGCTGCTGGGAAATGGAGTCTGGCTGCCAGTCAGATCTGCCATTTTGCCAACCCTTGCTCTAGCAGGTACTCTTCTTCATGGTCCCTCATGCACTCTCACTCTCTCAGCTGCCGAAGTGGCCAGCTTTAAAAAGGTTTCTGGAGAAGTGACTGGACAACACCTTTTCTACAGTGTGGAAGTTAGAGCACTAGGTTGGAAAGTCAGGGAGACACAGGTTGAAGTCCTATCTGAGCAAATGGGGCTTAGGACTGCAATCTTGTTTCCTCAGCAACTATTGGTGTAAATAGAAGTGAGGTGTCCTTCAGCATTGATCACCATTTCACCAAAAGTTTCTGGACAGCTATATTTTTGTGACTTCCACTCACCTGCACATGAAGGATTGGCGCGCGTGCACACACACACACACACACACACACACACACGTTGCTAAAAGTCTGCCATTAAAGGTGCATAAAGGGAAATAGAATTCAGTCTTGAATGACTTGCCCATTGTCATACAGGGAGACCGTGGTGGAGCAGGAACTTGAATCCATATCTCCCAGATTCTAGATTACTGCCTGAATCTCCAGCCTACCCTTCCTGTCACTTATCAGTCTACTACAAGGGTGTCAAACATATAGCCCACAGGCAAGTTCTGGTGCACAGAGCTGCTCTATCTAACCCACTGGACTACTGGTGTGGCCAGAAGGAGAATCTGGAGTCCTCAAGCCCTGATGGATGTGCCTATTGGCAGCAGGAGGGCAAGTCTGGCCATTTTGCTGGTTGCCACTGCCATAATCCTTCCTCCTTGGTTGCTGGACCCCATTATGTGCCCCATGCCAGAGCTGGGGCCAAACCTTATTCTATGGTGGGGGCAGCAGCTCTGGTTCCAACATGGGACATATGACAGGGTTGGAGCCACTGCCATGTGCTTCAGGTTGGACAAATCATTCCCCTCAAGACATACTTAGTACTTTGTCCAACCCAATTTCAGTTTCCTAAGAGACTGACATCTATCACTTTTTTCCTTACAGACTCTTCCATAGAGAACTCTCACCATCAAGAAACTTTTTCTGGCACTCAATTTAAAGTTTCCTTCTTATCTTTAGCTAGGACTTGATATGCCCTTGTACTCATCTGTCTTTTTAGGAAGCTGTACATTGCTGGTCCATGGTGCTACATACAGCATCAGACAACAATATACCCCAATCCTGTTCTCATTAAAATCTATGACAATCCCCCTATTGACTTCAGTAGGAACAGGATGGAGCCCTTACACTGACAAGGTTTTTCCTGCCCTTGCAAATGTACCAACTGATATAGCTGTGGGAAATAAACACAAGGCATTTTGAGTCATCACCATCAATCCTTGGCCTTTCCATTCATCTGACCTGCTGCTCCTGGCAACATGTTCCTTTGGGCCTCTCCTTTGTTATGCTAAACGTACTGACAACAAAAAGAAAGATGGAAGAGGTCCTTCCCTTCAGAGGAAAACAGCTCAGATGAAGTAGGGGAGGGATTTTGCCCTCTCGTCCACTTTGTATAACATGACAAATGTAATTGTTTTGGTATATTACAGTGCAACTGTTCTCCATCTTAGTGAGGATTGGCCCTATGAGGTACCAAAGATGAACATCAACATTTAGGTATCATTGGATTGGTAGCAGCTCCTCAGCCAGCCTAGTCAATCACACTAGACCCTGGGGAAGTAACCTTTTAGCTCCTTGTAGGATTGTGAGAGCTTGTCAGGGGCCTAGCTATTAAAGCCTAGGCCCCTTTCTCTCTAGCCACACCTGCCTTGGCCTAGTAGTAAAGGCTCTCAGCTTCTGGGCTTTAGACCCAGCCTCAGCACCTTTTTAGAGTTCTAGCTCTATGTGTTAACAACTGCCCCTTAGGCTGGGACATCTTTTAGCTCCTATGACAAGAGAGAAGGGGGCATACCCACACCCCCTATTCACAGTTGTCTCCATCTCTACAGCCACAACCTAGCCCACAAGTCTAACTCAAACCAAAAAGTTGCCTACTCTGTAAAAGACATAAGCTTTCCTCTTTGTAAAAATAGGCTGAAGACTTTACCTGCCTAAGAGACTTCCCCATCCAACTCCCAATACAGCTTACATAACCACCACACAAACTTCTTCTCCTACTTACCTTAGCACAGCCTTGGGCTGGGTTTAAATCCCCTAACCCAGGCTACTTCTGGTTCCCTGACCAGGCCTGCTGCTTCATGCCACCAGGTGTGGCCACTCACTCATTAATCCACTGCCTTCATAAGCACCATACTCAGGCCACCTGCACAGCTATCTTTAATTACCTGACTTTACCAGTAAAAAGGGTAGTGGTTCTCTATTGCACTCAGACATAACAAAGAACTTGGCTTCCTCAATTCTTCCTAAATTTGGTTTTAGATGCTAAAGCTAAAAATGCTGGTAAACCACTGCCTAATCCTGGAGATAAATAGGCTCCATGTGTACCTTCCTATTATCAATACAATTTCCTAGATGCTAGACTTCTGCTACTACATATAGTCAGACCTGCTCCAGTTTGAGCAGGTAAGTGCCCAAGTCTCTTAAAAAGCTTGATTTTTTTTTTTTCCCACTGAGAACACTTAATCACTAGGCTATAAATAAGTCTTGGGAAGGCAATCTCCCCCTCTGGCTGAAGATTTTATTCTGTGTAGTGAAAAATTCAAGAAGAATTAAATAAAGACATACATTATTCTGTTGCCTAGTGGTTTCAGACTCATCTGGGAAGGAGAATTCTGGGGTTTGATACCTCTTTCTAGGACTCCTAACATTTTAGCCAATGCCCATTTAATGTAAATAGACAAACTCTCTCTGGCATAGAGACTGCCACCAACAGACAGTTCTATCCTTCCAAGGAACATCTGTAGATGCCTGCTGCCATTTGAGGTTTCTTGGCTGTGGATTTTGCATGGACAGTGGCTGCAGCCCTGACTAAGATACTCCAGATACATTTTTTACTGGGACTAAAGTTTCCTTACAGATTAGGAAACTATGATTATTGATTAGGAGAACTTATTAATATTGGAGGCTCCCTTTAAGCATACAATTTGCTTTTAGTTGAGGTATCTGAATAGGTATGCCTTTGATGTTACTGGAAATTGGGAAGTGGAAGGATGTCCTAGGGTTGGTAGCAGCTCCTCAGTCTACCTGGCCAGCCCCACCAGACCTGGGAAAAATGACTTTTCAGGTGCTTGTGGGTTTATGATGTTTAGTTTAGGTTCATGAGTCAAAGTTGTGGATTTCACTTGTGCCAGGCTCTTAGTTAGGCAATGCCGTGTATAAGTTGTTGGTGACCAACTGATGCATTGGTTCTAGCATCAAGTAAAGCAGAGGAAAAAAAGGTTAAAACCATGTTGGAGGAAAGGAGAAGGGAAGAAGACTTGCCTTGTCCTAGGAAAATCGATGGTTATGGAAGAATCTCCCAGCTGGGATTTTTTAGAAAAGGAAGCTATAAGAAAGAGACCAAAACAGTCACATAGCCTCAAAAGGACTAGCATATCTTTTGCAAAGAAGGAATGAAGAGTTTTATACATGGAAGAAATGGTAATTCACTATGAGAACTCTTAAAACTACAAGAATTATAGTGAGGGCCTACGTAGGGGTGTTTCTCATAGTTACTCTTTCTCCCTCAGTTTTAACGCAGTTCCTATTGCTTTTCCTTTGACTGAGGTGTTTCTGGGTCAGAGCCCCTCTTGTATCCTTAGTCCTTAAATGGTTCTTGCTGCTCACTCTCTTTACTCTTTTTGTTTATCCCTAACAAAGCTATCTGGGCAAACTTTCACAAGGCTGCTCAATACCTCAGTGGGTAGCGCGCCCCCCCCCCCCAACTC